GATTTTTAGCATCATTTGTATATCCTAAAAAGTTGTTTGCGGTACAAAATAATTAGTTAGTTATAAAAATAATGCATGTGGATTAGACTGATGCAAAATTTGACTTTTTCGCTCCACAGTGCTTAAATGGTTTCAAAGGGGGAGGTAGCTCATCGATTCTTCCGGTTCGCCTTCTAGCATCGTGCTATAAGGTACCAGGCGATAACCAGAGCAGTTGATCGATAGCTCGATGACGTCATTTCGTTGGCGTCTGCAATGGGAAATTCTCATAGCAGGCGTTGACGATGGGACGCTGTCGAGTTGTTGAATAGCAACTATCGTGGTATCTCACCGATTACCTGTCGATCTGCTAAATTTGGAAAGACGTCTGCATTGAATTGTCTCATATAATAATATTCCGCCCATTATATCACAAGAAATTGCGAGTAGCTGAGTGGAATGGAGATAAGTTAAGCATTGGGTACAGGACCAAGTCTCCCCTGGGTGGTGCCAGAAGATGAGCGCAATAGAATCATCAAGTTGCCATAAGGCACGGAATGAGACTATTGCATGGCTGGGTAGTCAAAATCTTCCATTCGTTAGTCATTTCAGGTGGATTAGAACAGGTTTAGGTTTAGGGTGGGCGTTGGCCATATAACCTCAACTTCTGTCACAATGTTTCATTGTGACTAATCAACACTCAATGGGTAAAATATCAAATTTGCGGTAAATTTGAAAAAAAGGTAACTTGGAGTGTAGAGCGCACTGCCCACTGGACGATTCTGAAGCCTGACCAAGTGAGTGGGTTAAGGGCCCGCTTAGGGGGAGCGTAACCCATGTTATGGCTTCCATTTATTAAATAGTTCAGATAGGCTGGAAATGATAGGTTCATGGTGAAAAAATGTACCATATGGTGCCCGTTCACTGATCAAAATTAGATTCAAATCGTCAGGCCCTGCCCTGGAATAAGGGGATTGACGATGATTGTAAGTTTAGGTTTACTTTTGTAATTGTAAGATAGATAGTTTGCCTCAATTGAAACATTGAGTTGTATAAACTTGACGAATCATACCTCTAAAATAGTAGTAGTTACAGTGCCGCATTATCTAACAACCACTGCCTGCAACTAATGTTGGAGGGGCCGGCAGGGCTGATTACGGATCAAAACTAACATAACTCTAACACTGAAATGATCTCGAAACTAACGTTCATTCATTGCACTTTGAGTCATGAAGTAGTTTTATTTATTTTCCTACTAATCTATCTACACACTTAGTTTTTTCTACCGAGCTCGGCTGTGCGGGTCTCGGCGGGGATGGTTTCGCTGAGATCTCGGCGGGAGTGACATTCGATTGAGGTCTCGGATAATGCCTTTTCTAATAATCTGCATACGTTTCTTTTCTTTGTTATCTACTTTATCCCCTTTTTATTTTTCTGCTCTTCTTTCCTCATTTCTTTTTTTTTTTTTTTTTTCTTTTGGTTTGTTTTTTCCGTCGATCTTGTTTTCCGTGCTGAGCACCAATGCTACCGACGTGCCAGGAAGGCAGCTCCCACACCTGGACCCTACCTATCGACCCATCAAACTCATGAACCGGGGACCAACGGCTTTACTTCCCATCCGAAGGAAGGCGTGATCAGAGATGTTGTGCCTCAGAACATCCGGCGGCGCCGACTGGGATTGAACCCAGGCCTGCTGGGGTGAGAGGTAATCACGCTTACCACTACACCACCGGCGCCGTTGTTGCTCATTTCTTCTTTTGTTTTGTTTGTTTACATATAACTAATACTAATCCCTCCTTGTTTTCTCTCTAATTTATCTACTATGTCCCACCATCACGATGAGAGATGAGGTACCGTACATGGTACACGCTCATATACACTCCCAAAATAGTATGCCGCCAGTAAGTATATCACAGAGGCAACTAAAGATCCAGAAACAAAAACCGATAACGCTGAAGATAATGAGCTGTGGTGATTTATATGACTATATAGTATTATTTATTTAAACTAACCTAAACACAACGTGGGGTGACCCAAATCCAAACGATCACTAACCAAAATAATAGACTTATCTTTTTTCAGCAGCACTACACCAGCCAGCAAAGTTCAACAATCCATCGTTGCTTATGCCTTTGTTGTCGTTTGGAACCAGTTTTGTGAGGTAGGCGACGATTGTGCGTATTTCTCGCGTAACTTTTGAAAAAAAAAACCTATTTATAGCCTGAACAATACGTAGAGAGCAAATTGAAACATTTAACGTCGCGTGAAAGTGGAACTTAATGAAGGCCTAAGTACTTTTTCGTAGTTTTTAGTTTTCGGACTTGAAAGATCGTCGGTTACAGTGGCCTGCTTACTGAGCAGAAAAACGCGGTCCCAGGTCCTTACATATCAAAGAGATTTATAGTAAAATTGCTTGTGTATCGTGTATTTTGCGAAACTCGTTGTTGTCGTTGGTTCCGGGTTTGAATGGATACAAAAATTTGAGCAACGGTATTATGTGATATGAGGGGCTCGGTGGCCTTAGAGCAAGCGTTTTTGCTTACTGAGCAGAACATCATGAGTCTAATCTCAGGCCCATCCACATTCAAGATTCGTCAATCGTTTTATTTGTTAATATGACTACATGGTAATAACAGAAACTCGGTGATTAAAAAGGTGCTCGTCTGCCTAGTGGCAAACGTTTTTGCTTACTGAGCAGAAGACCGTGGGTTTAGTCCCAAGCTCCTTCGCGTTATATGATCGTTAGGACATCAAATCAGCTTATCGTTTACCAAAACGAACCCTGTTGCAAACCCAACCCTCTTATCCAACATCCCTGTGATTCCTCGTGGAAGTGCAGAGGTGTTCTCGGCTTCCATCAAAGCGAGCGTCATGTCAACACAATCCTTCCCATTCTTTTCTTGACCTGTGTTCGGGCGCGGCCGGCGCTGGTATTGCCCAATTTAAGATCACCAGTTTTTACACATTGAGGATGATTGCTAGTCCCAAGCATCGTCTATTGGTTCTCTGTGTTATTACAGCTGATCTGGCAATAACAGAGTAGCAACCGTGGGCGGTCAATCAAGCTCAAGCTCAAGCTCAAGCTCACAGTGCTTAAATGGTTTCAAATTGGGTCCTGGTCAGTCTCCCAAAGTTACAACTCATTTGGATAGAAACAGACTTCGCACAAGCCATTTGAAGGCCAGAAACACCAATGTTGCCTGCTGAGCAGTTGATTGAGCATGATCATAAGACATCAGCGTATTGAACCATTGATAACTTTCGATCCTTGCATTTAATCAAAAAGTGGTCTTCAGCAAAGTTGTAGCTCGGAAAATTCCCTACAAGTACAGTTGAAAGTTTTTCAAGCAGACCGATATGGTGAATTATTAGATAGACATGAACAAAAATCTTGGTTTTACCATAGTAATTCCCATACAAACTTCAAATCGTTTGTGCCATCTCAGTTTCTCACCAAATGGGTTCAAATTTTGAGAGGTTAGTCAGGATCCGATTTGAAATCGTTTAAGTATTGTGGAGCGAAAATTTCAAATTTTGCCTCACTCTAATGTGGATCAACAGTTCATTTCAATTTAGGACAACAGCATAGTTATAGCTTCATAACCTAGTCTTGTTATCTGCTTAATTTGGAAATCGTTATGAGTTAAAATAACCCTAAAAAATCGATTATTTTAGAATAGCTTTTTTTTCAGAGATAGCGAATTACAATGTCCTGGAAAAACCTGTGTTTTTACTTTGCAAAACGTACAAAAATTGTAGAAAATCTAAGATAAAAGTTATACCAAAAATTATGATTTTAAGATGTCTTTCACAAACAACGATATATGCCGTTATATACAGTAAAGAGCTATTGCTTTTACATATGTAGAATTGTTCTCTGAACAAACTAGAACTCTAAAATCAATGGTTGAGATGCTACACACCAAATTTTGAATCAGCCTTCCAGTAAAACGAATTGCTGAACAGAGTCCAGCAAAATTAAGATTTACTGTGAATCCAGCAAACATGTTTGTTTGCTGGATGATCAGTAAAATACGGGAACTGTCAAATAGATTGCAATTTCGTAAGTGGTTTCTTTATCGCATGCCTGATCGCAAGTTGATTTATTTTGATTTTTTTATACTAGTTTTCAATGTGTTTTGTTATTGAATGTGATTTAATATCATAATTAAAGGTACATTTGCATACAAATATCCGTTATAACAGTGCATCTGTAATGTGACGTCTTTTTTATTTATTTGCAGGAGGAAGTGGATAATTAGTCGGCGTTTTTGGTCGTTTTTCTTCATTTTCACTGAATTTACCGCTACATAATTTGAAATACAGCTATAATGTTAAAGCATGAAATAAATTAAGTTTGAATTAAGTAAAATCTTTGATTTTTTCTCAAAATAATACTTCACTAATTTTGCTGATCAAACAGCAAAATAAATTCCTATTTTGTATTACTGAACAACCAGCAAATTTTGCTGGTTCTACAGTAAAGTTCTGTCATTTTTATGCAAGATTATTTTGCTGGTTATCCAGCAATATTTGTTTGCTGGAAGGATTGCTGGATTTCCAGCTCGGCAAAATCCAGCAAAGTTTTGCTGGTTTCCAGCGAAATAAAAATAGTGTGTATGCAAAAAGCGCACGAAACGGCAAAAACAAACACTGCAATGCATGAATTTGTATATTGTGTGTCAAGTCAAAAAAATATCCAACCCGAAAAGTTTCCTATACAGTACCGGGTCGCAAGAAACCTGTCGCCTCCAGCCTGGTGCCTTTATCAACTAAGCTATCTGAAACTAATGTCTCTTTCCATCTAATTATTTTCAGTACCACCCTACTAGCCCCCATCCGAGCTCATCATCATTGGTGAGAGTATCGCGCGCGACGACGACCGAGACCGACGGTCAGCCCAACCAAGAGCATTCTACATTTGAATTAGTAGTACCACTGCCTGACTGATATGAAGGTACCTCTAGTATACACACGTCTACGGTGGAGCAGGTAAAGCCCAAAACAGAGTCCGAGTGCAGGTAGCTCACCCCCCCAAATTCAGAACAACACGTCCAACAGATCGTCACTTTGTTCGACTATTGTGGCCATTGTTGCCGGTGGGTCGTCCCGAATCGGTGTTGTGTTGTGGTATAAGTATACGAGTGTAATAGTAGTGCTCTGCCTGGCTCGGATTTTTTCGCTGCCCTCTCAATCGCATCAGTCTTGAACGAGACATTCTTCGATAGTGACGTGCCTTCTCCTCACTTCCTGAGTTTCAGTTTATAGTTTGAGTAGAAGTTGATAGCTGTTTACTTACGTGAGACGACGCCGACAAAACGAGCGCATTGTTTGCAGGCGGAAAGCGCGTCGCGTGTGGCAGCTCCGTTCCATCTATTGTTTGCCAATCCATCGTCATCGGAAACATCTTCGTCAAATTGCGGTGACAGTTTTGAAAAGTTTATCATCCTTAGCCGAGCTCAAGGACTCGCAAGCTCGAGTGGGATGTTGATGATGGGGTGATGGGATACGGAATGGACTTTTGTAGTTCGATAAAGGACCCGGCGTGGTCAGACAAATGGAAACACGCAAGCCGGAAATGCGGTTAATCGTGCAGTGCTGATTGCGCTCTAGGTCCTTGAGGGTTGCGTGGCCCAAATAGGACAGTTCGTGGACTGAAATGTGGACTACCGAAGGTGAAATGGGTACCTACTGTTGAAGTGATAGTTACGTTTTTAATTGGAACGAGAAAAAGCCAGAAGAAACAAGTGTCCTTAATAATTGCTTTCGATGCGATTGAAGTGGAATAGAAGCTACGGGAACAGCAAGTGCATGGGAAGACAAACAAACCCAATTTACACAGTGATTAAGCAGTTTTACAAGTCGCAGAAGAGCAAGTTTGCAAAGTGACGTCATTTATTCATCATTATCACCAACCAATCGGACCGACGACGGCAGACGGGAGCTATTTCTGTTACTATCGCGTTCATACATCGTTCAACGTTGCTGCCTTGGCTTAGATGGGAATGCATTATACATGAGAGCGGGGGAAATTGGTAAGTTGAGATATTAGTGCTTGTTGTGCTACAGAGGGATTATATTTTTGTCGCGAAAGGCTCATGCAATTATGACTGCTGTCATCATCGTGAATAGGTAGTTGAAAACAGATAGTGGCAATTGTGTTGATGGTGGTTTCTAGAATGGACCGGTTTTTGTTTTGCTTTAGTGCGTATATATTGCTCTATAGGAAACCTGAGATGCGTAAATTCGAAATTTTGTTTATGATACGAAATGTTCTCGTTTTTATCAATGCTACCATACTACTAAGGATTGGAAGTAATCAGCAGCCCGAACTTATCTGCTTGAAGGTGATACGTGGCCGATAATTTTAAATGTCGTACTGAAATTGCACTCGGAAAATAGCCTGTACTTTTCATAGTAGCATGAAAATACAAAGTACACCGTTGTACTGCTTTAAGCTAGTACTTTAAATTGTACATTGTTGATACTAGGCTCAAACGGTACTCTCGGTACGGTCTGTCGATGGTATAACAGTCACATCTTTGCTTGATGCCCTGTTATGCGTTTATGGGTAGCGGAGCCGTACTCAGGATATTTTTTTAGGTGGCGAACTATCATTCGATCACATTTCATAAGAATAGTGAGTCAGATGCAATTGTTTACCACATCAAACACTTTTTGGGTCTCCTTATACATCTTTCCGGATCAGTTCTCGTAACGGAGTGCTTATCGGCGCCAGGTTTGGTACAGTAAATCAGGGTCAATTTATCTTTTTCTTATAGATACAAAGCGGATCCGATGAAATTCGGAGATGGTACGCTTGTTTCAGAGGTAGATCTTGATCAATTTAATAATGGATTCAAGTTTATTGATTTTTTTTTCATCGTGAAAAACGTCAGACCCAGAAAACTATTGATGACTTGGATCTACCGAATTTGCTGATCTATGCCTTCTGTATATTTTTCTGAAGATTTCTAAACGTTTCAATTGACCTTTCATTTGGATTTTTCATTGAATTTTTCTAGATTTATGTACACTTATGACACAGGCAAACAGACATAACACTTAGAAGGAAATTCTTCAAAAAATATCATCAAGCGTATTTTGCAAGCGCACTAGCACCATCTATCATCCACATTCCCAAGCATTGTTTTGCAACCGGAGCATCCCTCGTTCATGATTTGTTTTAACTAGTTGCTTTTCCCTTGTTCTGTCAATGCGTCAGCTGTGTTGAATAAAAACAAAACAGATGATGGAAGTCAGTGATGTCGGTTCTACGAAATTTTCCTTAGATCTATAGAATTGATTGAATTCTGTAGAAATACGGATCCGTAGGAAAAATTCAGAGAAGCAAGACTTTTTTTTAGGGATTTGTTTTGTTTGTTTATTGTGCTTTTTTTTTGCTGGAAACAAGTTTTTAAACAAGGTAATGCATCACTTATTAGTGCCCTTTCTAAATGTAGATGTATCAATTTAATATGTATTAATCAATGATAATCATGGTGAAGTATTGAACATCGATAACTGGTAAAAGTTGATAGAATATTACAGTTATCAACATGATTTGTTCTCGAATTCTGTGTACATCGTACAATGTAATATTAGGAACGGAATGACGAATATGCAGCGATTTTGATGTAATATTCAACAACTTTTTTTTGTATTCGTCAGATGTGGTAGGTGTCTCCAGTGGGATGCCTTGACCACTTATCATTTTCAAGAGCTGACATCTACTAACTAGACGTGAAAAAGAACTGGCCTCACTGATAGGTTCGAAATGTGGTGGCTTGCTAAATGCTTCAGTGGCGCCACCACATTCCCAACTAAAACAATATTTGCGATGAATGTGATTGTGAGTGTTATGTCTGTTTGTCTGTGCTTATGATATATGTCTGAGTGGAGCAAGGATGAACCCGAGGATGCCAGTGAAGGACACGCCTGGACAATTGCTTACCGACCCCACTGATCAGCTGAAACGCTGGTTTGAGCACTTCGAATAACTTCTTCATGTTTCGACGGCCAACCAGCCATCAACATTTCGAAATGATCCGCCTAGGATGCGGCGCATCAGGAGATTGAAGCAGCTATCCGAAGCATGAAATCCAACAAGGCTCCAGGGGTCGATCGCATATCAGCAGAGATGCTCAAAGCTGACTTCATGCTATCTGATCAAATGTTACATCAACTATTCTGTAATATCTGGGACACCGCGACTTTTCCGGCCGACTGGATGCAGGGCATCTTAGTGAAGGTCCCAAAGAAGGGGGATCTGACTGTGTGCGACAATTGGCGAGGCATCATGTTACTGTGTATTGTTCTCAAAGTTCTGTGCAAAGTTATCCTGAATCGGATACAGGAGAAGATCGACGCGACTCTCCGACGGCAGCAGGCAGGATTCCGTGCCGGAAGATCTTGTGTGGACCATATTGTCACGCTCCGCATCATCCTGGAGCAGTTTAATGAATTCCAAGCGTCCCTTTATTTAGTATTCATTGACTACGAAAAAGCTTTCGACCGACTCAATCACGAGAATCTATGAGGCGCCCTGAAACGAAGGGAGTCCCGGATAAAATCGTCAGTATCAGGCTTTCACGTGCAGAGTTCTGAAAAAATGGAGCCTTGTCTGACCCTATCCGGGTAGTCCCTGGTGTGTGACAAGGATGTATACTATCACCGCTACTGTTCCTCATCGTAATCGACGAGATCATGGTGGGAGCAATTTGGCAGCCACCATGGAGCATCTCAACGACTTCGATTTGGCTGATGATGTTGCTCTACTAGCATATCGGCGCTCTGATATGCAGAGTAAGCTCAATGACCTAGCCGAACGCTCCTCTGCGGCGGGTCTCACCATCAACGTCAACAAGACCAAATCGTTGGATGTCAACACGGGCAACCCTTCCAAATTTACGGTAGCGGGGCAAGCAGCGGAGAAGGTTGAAAGTTTCCAATATCTAGGCAGCCAAATAGCGTCGGACGGCGGGACCAAGAGCGACATAGGTGCACGAATCAAGAAGGCTAGGGCTGCCTTTGCGAGTTTACGAAACGTATGGATATCAAACCAGATAAATCAACGCACCAAAATCCGAATTTTCAACTCGAACGTGAATCTGTGTTGTTATACGCCAGCGAGACGTGGTGTGTATCAGCGGAGAACACTCATCAACCGTTGCCTGCGGTATATAATTCGTGCCTGGTGGCCTCACAACTGGATCTCGAATGCCGAGCTCCATCGTCGATGTCATCAGAAGTCGATAGCAACAGAAATTCGAGAGCGAAAGTGGAGGTGAGTCGGCCACATACTTCGATGGGGCGGAAACGAAATCTGCAAGCAATAACTGGTTTGGAATCCGGCAGGACATCCCAGCAGTGGCAGGCAGACGCAGGAGCTCATGGCAGCGGAGTCTCAACAATGAAATAAAGCAAGTCAATAGGAATCTAACCTGGGCCCAGGTCAAGGCAAAAACGAGTAGCCACCCAGGATGGAAGTCTATCACGTTGGCCCTTTGCACCTTCGGTGGTGTACAGGACCCTTAAGTGAGTTTAATTTGGTTCTGTGGTCGAAGTATTCAAAATTTGCCTTTCACTCAAAACTTTACAGCATTTTATGTGATTGTTATCAAGCATTTTCTATAAAATCATCTTCTTTTACAGAGTTCTTTTCAAAATTCTTCTAAAATATATTTGAGATCCTCTCTGGGAGTCCCTTGAAAATTTATTTAAAGCATTCTAGAAATTCTTTGCAGAGCACTCCACAAAATTCATGAAATTCATTCATTGATTCTCATCGAATTTCAAACTATTTCGAAGAATTCACTGAAGCATTCTTCATTCTTTTTAAATTGGTTAGAAATCTTCTTTGTTTCTTAATTCAGGTGCAATTTAGCGGACCTGAATGACACACGTTAAACGGTCCTTAAACAAATACAAAAAAAATGCATTTTACCTCAGAATTGTCTTAAAATATTGCTAAGAAAAATCATATAGTTCTTTTCTTAATTCTTCTGATAATCCACTTGGAACTTCCCTTAAAATTATCTAGAAATTATTTTCAAGATGCCATTGAAATTATCCTCGGAATTTCCTTAAAAATCTTCGCATAATGCCTTTGGAATTGTACTCACAAAATTCGATTCCCTTGGTATTTTTCACGGATCCGGGACTCGTGTTCACAATCGCCATGCATTTTTCCAGAGCTACTTGGAAAAATACACTGAAATCACAGAAATGACTTGGAGTTTTAGTCAAAACCGAGGGGTGCGACACATCTAAATCTCGACTTTAAATGATCTAAAAATGTCACACTAGCGAATCAATCTACGAAAAATTTGTTTTTCATTCAAAGTGTTTTTTATGTTACTTCATACGCGAAGTTAACGATTTTCAGAGTTGGTTGGAAATGCTAACATGAAGCTTTAGTGTGATGATTTATTAGCTAGAGAATGATCTTTAGAAGAGTGTAGGTGGATAGTTCCGTTAGAGTACGGCAGTATGAAAATTGAATAGAAGTTGAAAATGAGCGAAGGGCCATTAAAGCGACAGTTTTACAAGGTAGACGCACATTTTTGCCTAGCCCGTACGATGTACGCGGGGACTTGAAGTATGTCTCCAAGTCCACAGGCAAAAATGTGCGTCCCTCTTGTTGCTCATAAACTGACTGCGGCTGTGGAATAGTTCTAGCGACGTTTTCATCACTACCTAAAGCCCCACGTCGCGAGAGCATTTCCAGTCGATGGTGTGTTATAATCCTTGTTTTTCATCTTTTGCAACTAAACCCATCTACTCGCATCGCTCTCCACCTTTTTGCAGGAAATCTTCAAAATCATAATCAATCGTGTTTATATATATCAAGCGCGAGTGCATCTCACAACAGCAAAGAAAAAAATTCCTGCATCTAAGATAGAGTCGCCCCCCTCGGTCAAAACTCTCTTAGAATTAATTCTAAAATCTGCCCAAATTTGTTATGGAATTGTGTTTTTTTTTTAATTCTCGTAATAGTTATTCAGGTCCAGGTCAAGGTCCAGAACCTCATTTTTTTT